GTGAACAGCTTCAAAACTTTTGATGGCGCACAAGAATTTTCATTTCTCTCACGAACTATGCATGCATATATGTTTAGAATTCTATATGCCGAAAATTAGATCATAATTCTTGAACAAGTTCAGTTATTTTGTATTCATTATGGATTTCGGACTTTTTTGTTCGTTTCCTTCTTAATTTCATCAAGTATATTTTTGTTGATTACTTAAATTTGTGTTCGTTTCCTTTCTTAACATCCATATTGCATGAAGGAGGAAAGCGGTGTCCTTTTAATACACCTATTTTTCACAAAATACCAATTGTAATATCTACCTATAGCTTCTTGTGTTTTTGCTTCGTCACTTTTTTCTTCTCATTGTTCGTTTATAATTTACATTGATGAGACAATATTTTGCTGATAAATGCTTTTGGGGATTTCAGTGAAAGAGAAAATGCCTCTAGCAAAAATGGGAAACCTTGAAACATTCTGTGCTAATAAGACTGCAATCTGCACAACTTCTTTGAGGCCATGCACTAAGAACAACGGCAAGCGTGATGCGCAGTTGATGATGATATCATATCAGGAAGCTCGCGAAACTGATGCAGACTTGCAATCTTTGGACAACGCCCTCAAAACCCGCACCACAGCGGTCATCAGAGCTTTTGCAGACGATGGCCTTTCAACTCGTTTTCTGAAACGAGTCACAGATTATGTGCGGTATCTGAGCCAGGAGAGCTTGGGCGCAGTGTTGGGACGCCGCAATGCTTTTGGGAGCATGAATCTTAACAGTGGCAATCAGGAAAGCTTTAAGCTTCTCGTGGACGAGTACATGAATAATAGTTTGCAGATGCTGAATTTCTGTTCTGAATTAGATAGGTTCCTAAAGGAAGCTCGTAACACGCAGTCATATATCGAATATGTGACTCGAGAGTGCTTTGAGAAGGAGAGTACAATGGGGACAAGCCACTACAAGATGATTTCAAAGAGGTTGAAGAATCTCAAAGCCTCTGTGGATGTCTCTGGCCAGTATTCTTCTGCTGGGAGGCTGCTCGAAAAGGTTGTGTGTCTGCGCAGGCAGCAGGAACAGATGCTAGAAAAGTTGAAAGTTCAAAACGAGAAGCTTGGGAAAAAGGAGAGCCGTGCTCGCGCTTGGCGCAAGCTCACGATGATGCTGTTCGTCATGGCCGTTGTTGGTTTGACGGCTCTTTCTATCCCAGCTGCTGGGCCGGCTCTTGGCGCCGCTGTTGTCCCGATGCTAGCGGGGGGAGATTGGATCACCAAGTGGTTTGAAGAATATGAAACTGCCTTTAAGGATCAGCTGGAGGAAAATGTGGCCATGCAAGCTGGAGCTAGGGTTTCCATTAAGGAGTTGGGGGATATAAAGTTTCTGATTGATAGGGTTGTGAATGAGATTGATTCACTCTTGTTTGCTCCAAACTCCACAATTGAGGAACAAGTAGATTTTACAATGAAGGATATTAAGCTCAAGCTTGAAACTTTTATGAGCGAAATTAAGACTTTGCAGGACGAAGCAAACAAATGCACCTCTGAAATACGCAACGCAAGGGATAGGGTTGTGAACAGCATAAAGTTTCTCAACAACAAATAAATTGAAGTTACTTTTTTTCTCAAGACTAGCAATAAGCAAGGAGATCTACCCCTCTTTCGAAAAATAAATAAATAAATAACAATTTGTAAAGAATAAAACTAGCCAAAAATTTTAGGTGTGTGTGGTGCTTTTGTTTGTACTAGTGCTAGTACTGTTTCCCAGTAAATTTTACTATTACAAGTGAATTTCCATTTGAGAATTAATATTTTTCTATCTTTGTTGCTTCATTGAGTTGTTTTATAAGGTTTCTTTCTCCACACAAAAAATTATTGGTGAAGAGTTCAATATGATTTAGTAGGTTTAAGACATAAAATTTATAAGCTAACTTAGTGTAGTGATATACTTATCTTCTCAAAATTAAAAGAGATCTTAAGTTCAAACCATATATCCCTAGACTTTAGAATTTATGATTTATTGCTTTTGGATGTAAAAATGTCCATCTGGCTTAGAGGATGTCAATTTTTTCCTGAATCCCATCTCCCCCCTCCCCCCCTGCCTTTAAGAGCAATTCCACCAGTTGCCCTTAGTCATGGCAGGGGGGGGGCAGCCACTATTCACGTGAATAGTGGCTGCCCTTGCAAAAAGCAATGTTGGTTTCCAGCAGTTGCTATTCATTTTTTTGTTTTTTTCACATATTTGTTTACCTAAACAATTAATTTGGACAAATTTTTTTTAAAAGATTTTTAGTGTGGGAAGTGAAAAATATGACTAAGTATTTATTTTTTTTTAATCTGAATTTTTTTTTTCCGATTTTTTTAAAATTTTTTTGTTGCTGACGTCAGTACCCCTC